CAGTCAGTGCAGCTTACGAGTAGAGTCTGCAGATTTTGACTGCTAGCTCATCAGGATTAAATCAGGGAGAAGAACTCCGGGGTCCTGAGCAGCTGGCATTTGCTCCGACTAGGACACATGTTCCTCATCATCTGTTTGAGGAAGTTCTGGAGGTTTCCTAGGAAATCCTCTAAATTTCAGTAGGAAAAGAGGAACCAGAAAATATCTCCCTCTTCCAAGACCAAGCAGTCTTGAATATTGCTTTTGATTCTGACTTTTGTACTCCTGGATAGATACTGCAAAATTGTAGAGGGCTACTAAAAATGGCATTGCATGCACCTGGCCTCAGCCAGGGTCAGCGAGCAGTCACAACGTGGTGGACAAGCAGCAGCTGAGGCTGAAAATCTTCTGGTGCAGACCAGGCATGTCCTTAGCTACTGAGGCCCTTTCTGACCTAAGCATGAGGAACCACATATAATCAAGTAGCTGAAAACATAGCACCAAGAAGAAGGGGTAATAAGGATTTTTTGCATTATACAGTCATAGTAAAAGAGCGAGTTCAGCGTCAGCTGGCAGGAAACCACAAGTCTGAGTCACGTGTTTCCACTTCAAATGTTTAGATACTGTGATTAATTGGGAGCCACATGTTTCATTGTTTAACATGCTTTGAAATAATGTCTTTTTGGTTTCAGTCTGATAGATGTTCTCTGCATTCATGGCTAAATGATCTATTCACAGCCATGATTTTTCTATTCTAGATGCCTGTCTGAAAGTCCTAACTATTTATCAGAGTAACTGCACCAAATGAAAGAGGCCACCAAATGAAAAAAAAATGAAAAATCAGTCAAATTAATACAAAGATTACATTTACTCTATTTGCACTTCTAAGAAAATACACAAGAGGTTGATGAAAATACTTGTTGTTTTGAAAATATGATCTCCTTTCAAAATATTATCTACTGGGTTTTCAAATGGTTTTCCTGTGCTCAAAACACATTAGATCTTTCAGCAAGAAGCTTTTGCTTTGACTGAATAACAAGTGTTTCCCTGGTTACTACATGGATACCAGATCTGGTTCCAACATGGAAGACAGGTATTAAATTACCAGAGGTAAATGTCTGATGTACTTAAAAGTGATGTTACATTTCCTAGGATGATCAAGGTATTTATAGCATCCAAAATAAAAGTATATTAACATAGTGAAAACCATACATTTCTTAATGACAAATCTACCAAGGCTTTAATTTAAGCAGTACTTAGTATGGGCAAAAGAAGGAACAAGGAGAATACTTTTTTTCCCACCTTTCTTTCAAATAACTCTCAAAAAGACCTCTAGGTTCTGAAATTTAAGGCTGGTCTGTAGAAGATTAACTGTAACTTAATTGCATGCAAACTGTATGTACTAGTGAAGTAGGAATGCAACCATGTCAAAACTCAGCATTAACATTCAATTTCACATAGAGTCACCATGAAGAACCAATTGGCGATACAATTCGCCTTTCCTTTATGGTATCACAAAAACCACAAAACATTATTAGGTGAAAACTTCACTAGCATATTAAACATATATTGCACACACACACATAAACACACACACACACACACACTTCAGCTCAAAATGTATCCTGAAAATATTCCAGATCTTCAATGCAATTTAATATAGACTTTTCAGATCTGCATAAGGGTATCTTTGTCAGCTAGACACAAATACCTGCAGATAGACACCAGTCCCCTCTCAAAATTCAAAAATCTAATATCCTTTGAAACTGAATGCTCTCTACTGATTTCCTCGATCTAGGGACCTCTTGTGAAGCAGTGCTATCCTGTTCTGTTAGAACAGAAACCCGTCAATCGTAGCCAGAACTGAACATGTAAAATGGGATTTTTGTGTCTCTGCAGAACAAGTAGCTCAACTTATTGCTCTAAGAACAGAAATCTTCCTGGGAAGCCTGTGTTAAGTGAAGCAAATCCAGCAGGACTCAAAAAGTAAAGCATGCTTATAGTTAGCAGCAAATTCTGTACAACTTATATGTCAACTAGTCCTCACTAATGGGCTCAACTCACGTAAGCTATGGCCACGCTTTTCACAGCAGCCTTTGCGGACTGTTCAAATATCCTGTCGGAAAAACAGCTGTTAAGCAAACAAATGGTGGGTTCCAACATGTTCCCACCTTTTTTTTCCCCCCTTTCTTTCAGCCCCTACGCTTCTCAACACCAATAAAACCAAAGGAACAACTTTTAAGAGATTATCTCAGAACATTTTCCTGCATGTCTATAAAGGCTGAATTCCTGCAGCTTCTACTGAAAAGCAAAGCATAATCGATGGCCACTTTCTATCTGGAACCAGCTTTCGATGGAACCAGTTCTTCTGGCAAGGAGGTTGACCCCTCCCAACCTCTCTGCTATCTTCCCTCTTAGGTGGCATAATCATTTTACACAGAAAATGCATTTTGTAAGCAAATTTACATCTTCAGCACCATCTACTTTACTAAATGACTTAACACTTTAAACTAAATGATTTTCTGTTTTTAACTAATCAACTGAAATTTTTGTTCTGAAACTGTATTCCTATTCTGAAATGAGCAGGTAAAGCTTAGTCAATTTCTTTTAACTACACATGGTCAGTATGCTCAAACGAGGCTTCATTCCCTACAGAACCTACCTCTGCTGCCCATTTTCTAAGGCACTCTCAGCTGCATTGCCATCAGCTTTATTCTATTATTTTTCTTCCTTTTTTTTCTTTTTTTTTTCGAGGTGGGTGGGTGTTAGAATAGTAAGATTAAAATCTTACTGAATAGATAGGTTTATTTAGTCAACATGTTTAGTCAACATGAAGCATTCGTGATTCAGTGGACCCTCTGCTGGCCCTAGCAACAGTTAAACATCCCATAATCATCATCTTTAATAACTACAGCTACACAATCACAAATTAAGGTCGCAACATTCTGCTTGCTCACTAATCATTTTATTTCATGTCCATATATTTATACAATTTTCAAGACAGAAATCACAAATATGTTCTAACTCAAGTCCAACTTTCTTTTTTTTTTAATTAAAAGCAAAATGCCAGTTAGCAAAACATGCCTAAAACTTGCCAAAAAAATATGAAATCAATGTCATGCACTAGAAAGATAACATAACATCCAAAAATACTTGAAAACTTAAGGAACTTCACTTAAGGTGAGCAGGCACATAAATAAAACTTAGAGTACAAAGTAACACAAGAATTTGCATCTGTGGAACTTTAGGACTTAAAGCTCCACAGAAAAATGAACACATAAAATGACTTTAAGTAATGAAATCATATATTTTTAATATAGTTGGAGTATTCAGCTTTCCTTATTTTTTCATAATACCATGACACAAAGGTAAACAGGAAAGAACAGTAAGGCCCATCATCATAGTACTAAAAAAATGAAACTCATTGATGCAATCCAAAATAGAAATTAGACAAGGAAATAAACTTCTATCATTCCTTCTCTAGACAGTAGCTCTAATCATGCCTGCTAGGGAAAACCTTAGTACTCACTTTAATGTTTGTGTTTCTTCAAAAAACAGAGTC